TTGCTGTGTTTGGAAGAACTCAGCTCTGGTCTTGGGCTCTGGTTGTGGCAGTAAAACATCCACTTTTCTCCTTGTCAGTGAGATGTTTTCCATTTCTCACTCAGAGCGTCCTGTAGTTTGTCTCTGACTTCTGACACAGCCGCTGTCACATCCACAAAGTAGCGCAGAGGACGGATCTTGATGCTGGATGAGTCTGTAGATTCACTGAGTGCTGACACTGAGGGGTAGTTGTGTAGAAACTGGTTGTGATCCTCTGTGTGTGAGAGCTGCTTCAGCTCAGCGTCTTTCCTCTTCAGCTCAGTGATCTCCTGCTCCAGCTTCTCCTGAAGCTCTTTGACTCGACTCACTTCAGTTTGCTGCTGGGATCTGACCTGCTGCTTCACATCAGAGCGTCTTTTCTCCATGAGACGGATCAGCTCGGTGAAGATCTTCTCACTGTCCTCCACTGCTTCATCAGCAGAGCGATTGATAGCCTCCGCCTCCTGCTGAAGCACCTTCACATCTTTCTCTCTGTCCTGGATTCTCTGCTGGATGTTTTGTCGACTCACCTCGAGTTCTCTCTGCCTCTCGGTCCTTTCTGCTGCAGCTGAGACTGTGTCGTGGCCTTTATGTTCCTCCACAGAGCAGAGATAACAGATACTCTGCTGATCAGTACGGCAGAACATCTTCATCACCTCATCATGACGAGAGCAGATGTTCTCCTGGAGCTTCTTGGAGGGCTCCACCAGCTTGTGTTTCTCAAAGGCAGGAGATTCAAAGTGAGGCTGGAGGTGTTTCTCACAGTAAGAGACCAGACAGACCAGACAGGACTTGAGGGCTTTCAGTTTTCTCCCAGTGCAGAAATCACAGACCACATCTTCAGGTCCAGCATAGCAGTGATCAGCAGGAGCAGCTTGGAGTCCAGTCTTCTTCAGTTCCTCCACTAAAACTGCTAACATGGTGTTTTTCAGCAGGACAGGCCTCGGTGTGAAGGTCTGCCTACACTGAGGGCAGCTGTGGATTTTCTTCTCCTCCTCTTCATCCCAGTGGGTTTTAATACAGTTCATGCAGTAGCTGTGTCCACAGGGAGTAGTCACCGGATCCTTCAGGAGATCCAGACAGATGGAACAAGAGAAGGCGTCCTGGTCCAGCTGGACTCCTTTCTGAGCCATCTCACCTCTCAGTGGCAACGACTTTCGTTTCACTTTCTCGGAACTCAAACTGGTTTGAGCTCTGATCTAAACAGCTTGTGTTTCTGCAGTGAATGGGGTCTGTCAGCTCCTGCACTTCACCACAGGTTGGTTACACCTGTCTTTAAACTGTAGATCTGAAGGGGAGGGAACAAGGAAATATAAGTTATGGACAGAGAGGAGAGGAAATGGAAAGTAACTAAGTACATTTGTACAAATACTGTACAATTTATGTACAAATTCAAGGTACTTTACTTGAATATTTCCATTTTATGCAACTTTACTTCTACTCCACTACATCTCAGAGGCAAATCTACTGTACTTTTACTCCACTACATTTGTCTGACAGTTTTAGTTACTAGTCAGCTGGAAAATGTTTTTTCTGAGCTGATGAAAATGAACTTGAAAATGAGTAGAAGTGTTTCAGAGGGAACTGTCACTTTAAGAGTTAGAGCACAGTCCTGATGACGCGGGCAGAACTGTAACTCGGTGTGACGTGTAATGGCTGTACATGCAGAATCAAAAGTTGCACAGAAGTTAAAATCATGAAGTCTGTTCATTCTTATTATTTTATATTTCATATTAGATAAGATATCAATGGACATTACACTTAGAACATGTTGCACGGTTTTGCTGTAGAATAAACTACCCAGCAGTATATAAAGTAGTGGAGTATTTTTACAGTTTGGTACTAGTACTTTTACTCTAACTTTCCTCTAAATGTTACATTAACACTGTTTTTACACTCTTGGCATGTTAGCAAGTTATTACAGCCACAGTAACTCAGTTTAAGATCCACAACTTACCTGAAAAACCTGAAGAAATAATCAGGAGAGTGATGAAGGGTGTTTCTTCAATGACAACTAGTGTGATGAGGAAAACCCAGGATTTTATCAGCCAGCTCTGTGGGTGGAGACAAAAGCAATCAATCTCAGGCCATCAGATTAAGGCCACCTTGTAGATCACAGATTAACACTATTACAGTTGTATGATAATATAGTAGAGTCCCTTCTTGTTGGGGCGGATTGGCCATCAGGAATTTTTCAGTTTCTTATGTTCAACTTTAAATGATCCGTGACCACGCCGGCCAGCTGCTCAGCTGCAGCAAACGCTGTCTGTCAGAATGAGCCAAAAAATTCTTTCAATATTGAGGGGGGATATGAGCGGCCCGTCCAACGTGGACCGATCCTCATTATTGCTGAAATCTGATTGGCTCAATGGCGCCGATCAAAGAAGCTTCCTCTCAGTACGTTTTGTAGGGGCTGAACTCAGCCCAGGGTGGTGTGACAACCACAATTCAATTTTATTTATATAGTGCCAAATCACAACAACAGTTATCAGAATACAAACCTACAAAATTCAGACACAATCAGACAGATCACAAATAAACTACAAACATGGAAAACAGACTGAAGCTAGGATTAAACATAAAGACATTAACTAAGTCACAGAACAGGGAACTAAGATAAGAGACAAAACAGATACTAAGTAAACTAGAACACGAGACTGAATGAAATAACAAGGCTACACAGAGAAACACAGAACCAAAAACGGACCTAAACAGGAAGGACAAGGACAAGGACACAAAACCACACTCCTAACACTCAGTGCATCATGGGAAATCCCCCGGCAGTATAGCAGCATAACTAAGGGATGGTTCAGGACTCACCTGAGCCAGCCCTAACTATAAGCTTTATCAAAGAGGAAAGTCTTAAGCCTACTCTTAAATGTGGAGATGGTGTCTGCTTCCTGAACCCAAACTGGAACCTGGTTCCACAGGAGAGGAGCTTGATAGCTGAACGCTCTGGCTCCTAGTCTACTTTTGGAGACTCTAGGAACCACAAGTGACCCTGCATTCTGGGAGCGCAGTGCTCTGGTGGGGTAGTAAGGTACTATGAGCAATTTAAAGGGGCGCTATGGAGTTTTCAGCGGCCGATAGCGGTGCGGTTTTAAGATTGCAACCAGGCATGTGCTCGTACGCGTGCTCGCTTGAACTCATGAGCGAGCATAATCCGAAACACAACCGCTTTCATGCAGAAATCCTGCAATAAGAACACCAGCACGCAGGCTGTGGCTTTTCTCCAGACATGTTCCGGCTCTGTTACTTCAACGTTCCCGTCTCAGAGGCAGATCAACACTCCGTAACGTTACTTCATTCAGCGCAGCCAGACGCATATTGGCACAATCCTCCTGAAAAAAGTGTGACAGGGTCTAATGAGATTGTGTCACACTTTCTAAAAGTTAGACCGCAGTAAGTAACTTTACTGTAACTAGTGTCAGTGGATGGCTCTTCCTCTGGGTTGTATATTATGTGGGTCATGTTAGTTACAGCGAGTGAGAGGTGGAGAAGCTGTATACCTGAGTATTGGTAAAAGGCAATAAATCTAAATCAAAACAAACAGCAGCAGGTCCTTATTTGATCATGCAGAGACCGTCTCGGGTTACGTATATAACCCTGGTTCCCCGAGAAGGGGAACGAGAGACTGCGTCGGTTACGACACTATGGGAACGCCTCTAGGCGAAGCAGGTCTGAACGTGAATGAAATCACTCCAATCCTATTGGCTTGTTGCTAGAACGGTAAGGTGTGGAATAACCGGAGGAGTATAAAGCACACCTGTACACACTCATCATTAGCTTAAACTATGAAGCAGGCGCTTCAGGCGGGGAGAGAGGTGCGGCGGGCCGACGCAGTCTC